GTTTCGCCATACACTGGCTTCTTCGGGCGTGTCTTTACTCCTGGAGAAGCCATTGTATGGCGAAGCATGTGTTGCCTTTTCGTAAAAGTGTTGAGTGAAAATCTAACAATAAAGTGATTTTCGAATACGTTACCACAGATGTGCCATCTCATTTCAAACATGTGCAAAAAAACCTGAAAATGACAGAATTAATTTTTTTGCTCTACCGCCTACATTTTCAATAATATAAAAAAATGACAAAGATATTTTATGCTTTATTTCATGTTCTTTATAATCTGGGTGATCTCATTTTTCAATGCAACGTTTCGTTCATTGAATTCCATCATCAATATGTGTTTTTTAAATACGAACCTGTATAATTTTTTTATACATTTTCGTAGTCATTATAATTACAAACATATGTATTTCTCGACGTTTCTTCCCGAAACCTAGCATTCAACTTTTATTATTCAATGAGGAATCAAATATCAAACTATTGTTGTAACACATAGTTAACAGTATCGTTAACTATGTGTTAGCGATGCAGGCACTACTTATTGAATCTTTCAATTCTTCAATATTTTGAAAACTTGTTCTGAATACTTTTATGAAGCCCCACAACGAAAAATCTAGAAGAGAAAGGTCCGGTGAACGTGGTGTCCATTCAATAGGACCATTATTTCCTATCCACCTTCCTGACATAGTTGTATCGAGGAATTCTCTTCAGATTTTCCTGGGATGTGGTGGAGCTCCGTCCTGTTGGAAATACTCATATTTTCTTATGACGCTAAGTGGCAAATCTTATAATAATTCAATTAGAGTCCCTAATAAGAAATCCAAGTATAATTCTTCGGTCAGAGATGTTTCAAAAAAGTGGGGTCCAATAATTTTATTATCAAGAACACCAAGCCATACGTTAACACCATATCTCTCTTTAAAATTGTTAACTCTATGTAAATATTCATTTTTTTGTCGCCAATGATAATGTATATTCCTGTTGAACCATCCGTTATTGGTAAATGTACTTTCATCACACCACAATTTCTTTTTACAAATTTCATTATCTTGGCGAAATTTTCTAGTGAGCCATCTACAAAAAACTTTTCTCCCGTTGAAGTCCGTTAAACGCAAATGATGAACTTTCCTGACTCGATAAGGCTTGAATTTATTTTTCTTCAAAATTTTCCATACAGATGTTGTGGATATGGCCGAATTATGAGCAATCTCCCTCAGAGATACTTCCTTGTTATCAATTTTTTTATTTTCCATAAATCCTAAATCAAATCAATATCACTTCATCATTATTGTGAATCTTCTTTGAACTCGCCTAAAACGCCGATTTCATTATCGCCACCACATTCAGTAACCGTACATTTTCTTTTAGAGGGTTTTTCAAAAGATCCATAACTCCGTAAAGTATTTTCGATTGGTTGAAAATATCTATGATTAAGTTGTCGTCGTTCAGGATACAATTCCTGATACATTGCAAGAGATTTGGTAGTATTTCCTCAAACATCTCGAATATACAAAAAGCATATCCCCTTTTTTGTCATTGGAAAAATTCATGTTTCTCCCTTAAAATCGCTCAACGATTTGAATAACTTTCATTTCGTGTGTGACATTCATGTATTTCATGGCTTACTTCAAAAAAAGAAATTATCGCTTATCATGTTTAGTTAATTCTTGTTGATATCCTCATTTTCTGAACAGAAACTTTTAGGTAACTACAAATTTTCAAAAGACATTTGGAAATTATGAATGGCTTGGTATTGATACAAAGATTATTGGTCTCTCTTTTTCAAGACGACCCTGACAGAAATTTAGTTGGATTTCAGTGAATAAAAATATTTATAATCTCAATGAACGACATTATCGACAGAACTCTGGAATTCAGTAACATTTGGAAATTAAAGCTAATTATCATTCACGTCTCTAGAAGTACTAATAGTTTGAATAATATTTCATGAACAGAAAAACACTTCTAACCACAAAAATATCTCAACTCATATAAACAATGATTGGATGTAAACACAGCTACGAGCTAAAATGGAAAGGCGAATTTACTTCATTTAAATTTACTGAAAATCTGAAGTTGAAGTTTTAAATAATTTTTTTGCATAATATAAAACAAACAACAATAGAAATTATTGTTTCTTTGCACAAAAATATAGAATACTGAAAAAATCATTATAGTTATAAAAAAGGAATGTATGTAGTTAATCAATAACATATATTAACTGCAGGGCTATTTTACTCACAGTAAAAGTATCCCTACTTTCGATTAATCGTTGGCGTGCTTTGGCTACCTCACCAGCCAGGGGGGTTAGAGCGGCCTACACCAAAAAAACGTAATTAGTCACCTTCATCTAATAATCAACACACAATGTCTACTGGTAGTTACAAAAGGAACTGCATATTTTTAATGTTTGTGAATGTGAATGATAATTTATCACCTTGACTGCACTGTCATACATAAAAATGTGTTATTGGAAAAATCCATAGAATTAGTATTGGGCCAATATGAACTTTATAAATAGAATCACCTACCAAATTCTTAGTTGAGATCAAGACTAACAAATATCCGAGTGAGAGTCAGCATTCTAACTTCATAAAGTCAGAATTCTAACTTTACATATGAGTAGTCAACAATTGAAGGCTACTCAGTTGTCAAAAAATTAATAAATTGGATAATATCAATATAAAAGAACAAAATGTAATTGTAAAGTACCATTAACAAATCTAAAGGGTCATTTCTGTTCAATTTGAGCATTATATGAGCATATTAAAATTCTACATTACATACTTATTTTGTCCAGAGTCTATCATAAAACAGAAGCGCATGTGTGTGAAGACAGCCAGCCACAACCATTTCATATTTCTGTGATTACTCAATAAATAATTAACATATTCAAAGTGGAAACAATCAAAGTCAGGGAACTGGGTCATCATAAAAATGATAAAAGTAAATTTCTCTCCTAGGTAAAATTCGAAGAATAAACACTGAAAGGAGTGTTAATGTGTTTAAATTACAATGGATAGTATTTTCAAGTAAATATAAAATGATATAAAACTCTACTTAATCAAATAACTGACGGTTTAACTTGTTCGATTGATGAGCTATTTATTTTGTAGAAATTTATATTGAACATAGGATGAAGAAAATACTTTTGTCTAATTTCTACCAAGTTTATCATTTGTTACGACGGGTTTCGATTTGGTAGACCATTCTCAAGTAACTCCAGTTATTGGAATAGTCTAACAAACCGAAACCAGTCGTTAAAAATAATTAACTTAGTAGAAATCAGACAAAAGTATTTTCTTTATCCTATATTCAAGCTGACGGTTTAGAAAATCAAAACAATAATTCCCAATATAAACATAAAAATAGTTTTTGCATACATATATATGCATACATATATGTAATAATATGAAACAATTTGGAAAAGTTCTAGTTCAGCCCCAGGTTACCACGAATGCAATTATGAATTGTTCGCCTGCAGAAAAACATTTTCAATTTTGGAAATGTTGAAGTATAAACATTGCATTTGGAAACACTGAGTTATTTATACTTGGCCAAGAAACTATATCTCATTTCGTTCAGAAATGAACATAATTTCATTGAACAAAATGAATGGTCGAAGTAGGGCTTAAAGACATCGTGTGTAAAGTTTCTTCGGAACAGAGAAGTTATGTGAGGTGGAAGCGAGATATGACCTCTATGACGCAAGTTATGGTTATCTGTCCTATATCACATTTTATTTATGAATGGACGGACCACCCGTTATTTAATGAAAATTAATAACACTATCCATGATATTAATTAAAAAAAAATTCAAACATTTTTCATTTCTAGACGCATTTCGCTAACACTGTAGCTTCCTCAATAGAAATGAATATTACACACTGGGCTACAATTCTTGTATACAACACTACCTTACTTGATAGGTTAATAGTAAATGAGATAACAGGTTGAATTTGTAAAACAATTACAATCTGTAATTACATTTTTGTACTGTACAGAGAACAGAATTTCTAGATACGAACAGGTTCAACTCCTGCCCCTCACCCTCTTCATGGAGTATGTCTGTCATACATAGTGTTGAAATCGTGATTGTTCTACAAAGGTGGCTTGCATACGTGAAATTGGTCTTCTTCAGTAATTCCTACAATGCCTTTTGGGCATGATCTGCATGTTAGTTTGTAGACACTTGATCTGTTATCCTTGTCTATGTGTGACTTGTTTTTCTTTATATGTCCTACCCAAGGAGTTACCAGTCTTATTTGCAATGTTAATATTTTGTTTATTTAGTAGCCTTTTCTGTCAGGTTTCTCCTATCAGATGTAATATCAGATGTCAGAGTGGACATGGTTAATAAAGAAGTATGGTCGAACCTGGTGGTTGGTGACGTCTTTCATTTGAAAACTGATCATCAATCCTAATCGAAGGTTGACTAAACAAGTTACGTTTTCATTTTTTCTGATGTTTTTCCAGTATATGTGAGGGTATACGTGGTTAATAGCTTGTTTGAAAAGTTTTTTATCAAGAATATGTTGAATCACATTCAGGTTGAAGTTGTTATTCACTACAATTTGATTTATCAAATTTAATTCTGTATTAAAATTCTCTGTGAACATCATTTAATGCCAATGTTTAGAGAAAATTTCAATAAGGAATTAGATCTGATAAAACAAATTGCAGTGAAAAACAACTTTAACAATTCAACACATCCTACAAACTAACATGAGGATCATGGTCAAAAGGACTTCAAGAAATTTTAAAACGCCAATGAACTCGTACCAGATTTTCGCAGACTTTTCGACCTGTCTTACAAAGAAGGGATTTTTCTTTCTTGTTGGAAGAGTGCTCGCATTCAGCCTATTCCCAAAAAGCCAAGAAAAATCTTTAACTAAAGACCAGTCGCTATGCTATCAGTGATATCAAACAAAACAAAGATCGACAGACAACCTTCTATCGTATTGTTTAATTGATACACAAAAATACAGAAAATAAGAATAAAAATACTAACGAAGAGACAGATATATACAGTAATTGCAGTACATAAAATAAAGATTGTGTATAAAAATAGCATCTAAGTGACTAAACACTTGTGTTATGATACAAAGTAATACTAATTAATATAAAATTACAGTTGTGTACAGAGAGTAAGGAAACAATTTAGTTGCAGAGTATCTGTAATTTTCAAAGTTTTTTTTTTATTCCATAGAGAAGGTTGTATAATTTTTAAAACGTTTTATCCTTAGGGGTAGAGTATTAGAAATTTTAGGTAGTGTGTAAATTAAAAAGTGATGACAAATGTTTTTATTTAATTTTGGAGTGGTTAGCAATTCGTTTGTTGTACATCTAGTAATATAAACTGTGAGAACATAATTATGAAATGTTTTGTTTTTGAATGCATGCGTACATACATAAATTATGAAAGCATAATGTTCGAATATTACTAATATATTCCGAATATATAAGCTTAGTGTGATACGATCTTTTTTCTTCAAGATTATTTTCAGAATATAGTTCTGTATTACGTTTAGTTTTTGCAAGGAACTCTTATATATTGCTCCCCACACCAGAATACCATAACGAAAAAGTGATTCAGATAGAGATTTGTAAATTAATATGAGCATATTTTTCGATTGAAACTTTCGTAGCTGGTAAAACTTATATATTAGCTTCCTCACTTTTTTTGTCAGATAATCAACATGAATGTTCCATTTTGAATTATTGCCAATAATTATGCCCAAATACTTGATCTGGTTCATTTCTTTGATTCCTCGCTAATACCTGGAACTTCAAAATTGGAGAAATTAGGTCTGTTTGCTGATGTTATAGAGAAAGAAGGAGAGTGGGTTTCACTCTCCATGCTTGACTGGACAGAATTTTTGGTTTCAGACCATGTATTTTCGTTGAAAATAACAACCCTATCATCAGCGTATGATATAATTGCTTTTACTTTCAAACAGAGTAGAGAATTTATGTAGGCTTGAAAAAGTATTGGATCAATAACGTTTCCTTGGGTGACCCCTGTTCTTATGGTCATAGTTTTACTTAGTATTTCATTAATTTTAACACATTGTTCCCGATCAGTCAAATAATTTCTCAGATTTGGAAAAACGCAGTCGCATGAGGGTTTGCTGGCTAAACTTCGATGCTATGGCTTTTAGGATCATTTTTCTTTCGGCTCTCCAGCTTCCTGGAAGAATTTTCCCTACAAGTGGCCGTCGATGGATATCTCTCGAATACTTTTACCATTAACGCTGGTGTTCCCCAGGGATCCATATTGTCTCCAACCCTCTTTTTATTGTATATCAACGACTCATTGACAAAAAAACAAGAATCCAATCTTCACCGGCAGCAGGAGGTTGCATATCTCAACGAGGATCTAGAGGTGATTTCGAATTGGGGTGAAAGTAACCAGGTTTAATTCAATTCCACGAAAACCCATGCATCGATTTTCTCCAACAAGATAAATGTCTCTGAACCGGATATAATAATGTCACGACAGACAATTCCACTTTCTGCATCGATAAGTTTGTCGCTGGAATATAATATAATAACAACGGCTGCTTCTAAAAAGCTTGGAACACTATTCTGAACCAGAAAACTGTACAAACCTCAGCAACTTTTGAGGGTTTATACAGCTCAGATAAGACCTTATTTGGAGTATTGTTCACATGTATGGAGCTCCGCCTCTAATCATACCCTGAAGCTGCTGGATTCCATACAGAAAAGAGCCATTCGCCTGATAGGAGACACGAACATCACTTGCAACCTTGATAGTCTGGAACATCGTGAATCGCTACTTTCGCACAGGCACCGCTCTTAGAACGCCTTAAGGATTTTCCTGTAGTGCTTGTGTTTTGTCCTTAAAAAAATCTCCGAACATAAACGTCTGGGTTCCCTGTTGAGCAACCAATAGGAGATCGACCACTGACTATTGTTAAACCTTTTTTCATGATGCCAATAATTTTATTCATATTCAAAAATTTACCTGCTATCCAAGAACCGAGATTGTAATTGTTTTACAAATTCTACCTGTTATCTATTTACATCGAGGAAGCTACTAGAGTGTTAGCAAAACGCTTCTATAAATAAAAAAATGTTTATGAAAATTGTTCAATTATTATCATGGATAGTTATATTTTATTGCAGATATATAGGGGATACCGTTTATTGGTTATTGAATGAGTTAAAATAAGAAAATATAGTAAGACTAGCTGTTGCCTGGGACTTCGTTCACATAGACTTCAGTTCTAGGGTTTTCCTAGGTGTTTTAACAAAATTTTTCAAAGTATTTGCTTAACTTTGATATGTTTTGCAAATTAGAAATCTTGTTAACCATAAATTCAGTAAAATCAACACATATTTTTGTAGTATTTTTTTCAACGAAAGTTTGAAGTTATTATTTAAATTGACATAACTTTTTCGTTTATGAACTGATTGAAATGAATTAAACAAACACTAAATGTCAAATGACACTCACTACAATATATTAGTGGAATCTATTGCGATAATAAACACAACGGGGACACGCAGTGATCAGTTATATTTTTATTATATGTATTTATTAATCGATTATTCTGCAAGAATTTAAATGAATCGTCATAGAACTAAATACATCTCCTTTTGAAAAACTTCAAGTCTAATATTCAATCCTTCTCATTATGTTGACTCATTACTTTTATTGGATAGTTAAAGAGTAGCCTATTTGGTGAAATTATTCTTGTCCAATAGTGATATATTCCAAAAACGTCATAATAAATTTTTAATCCATTTGTGATACTTTCTCACAAGTCAAAATATTGATAAAACACCATATTTTTCAACCCAGATAAGGATGATATTATCTGGAGGCTTTAGCATGCTGGATATGAGAAAATGAACTCGAACTTTCTGCACGAAAAATTACTGAAACGCCCTCATTGAATTTCACTACAGATATAAATGAGTTATATGAGTATGGATCCATTTTTTGGAAAAGTATATGTTTTAATGTGAATGACTTTTTTCAATTTGTCATGGAATTGGCTAATATTTGGTGAAAATCAATGATAAATGTATCTAACCATCCTTTTTTTGAGAGTTTTTCATATAAACGTCTATACTAGTGTTAGTGTACTTTGAGAAAATCGTTCAATTAAGTGTAGGTCCAATAATTTCCACTTGTATGCCTAAAACCAAGAATAAAAAAATCACTTGCCATCTCAATATTAGAGCACATTCATGAGGCTTCAACTTCAAGAGGAGCTAGTTCTCATAGAACTAACTATTGAATGTTTTTTTCATTATTATTATTATTATTACCACAATAAATATTTTCTACAGCAAATGCAGTCAAGGTGATTAACTAAAGATTAATATTTCATTAATGGTTTCCTTTCATTGATGAAATCTGCACATTTGGGGATGTTACCAAGATACAATCTTCAAAACTAGTAGCGACAATATTTTAGTGAATTGAACTCACTCCCTGAATAGATTTTGGTAATGATTTTCTTAAACTAGAAAAACTATTAAAAAGTAGAAGTGGTCTAATGATGATAAAAAATTGTGTTATAAAGAAGTGGACTTTAAATGTAGTGAATGGTAGAAAAATAAATGATATAACGATGGTGATTTTTCTGAAAGCTACTACAGTTTTTAATCGACTACACTAAAAGGTATATAACTGAACATAGGAGCCCAAATTATCAAATCATAAAAGATTCACAAATTAAAAATAATAATTAATGAATTATCTCCGTATTTTGAATTGTATGATCTAAAATTCGGTTTACTTCAAGTGCTTTTTTACATTTCAAGTCTTTTCTTTAATTTTTGAATTGTATTTGATGCAATGAATAAATAAAATAAAATAAACTAGGGTCTGATAAACCCGACTACCAGTGTCAAAAAATTTTGTGTGACTACTAGAAGGTTAACAAAAAAATTACAGAATATGGAATAAATTCAGCATGACATTAAGGATGAATTTATGCATAAACAATTAGCAAGTGACAATTATATTATCAATTATAAGTTCAACTTCATGTTTTCTAATGAACATGTTTGTGCAGAAAAATAAACAATTATTAAGTAACATGCAGCTTGGTCTGATAAGAAATCATGCTGTGAACCACAACTTTTAGTACTCTCAAGTTGATTTCTAGTCATATTCTGGTTCTATTGTCTCTTCTTCTGCTAGAAAATGAAGGGATAAGTAGTACAGACAAAGGATAAGAAACAGTATGATAAAATCATGTATGTTATTGAATGGATGACAACCATAATTTAATCACTGCATAGTATAAAGAAGTCACCTCCCGCTGTCTGTCCCTATGTATGCTTAAATCTTTAAAATTACACAATAGATTTTGATGTGGGTTTGATAGATAAGGTTCATATGTATATAAAATGCATAATTATAGTAGACATAATTTTAGAGGTTTCTAATGCGATGTCATAAATAAACAATTTTTTTTTGCGCTTACATTGTAACGCTTGGTGAACCCTACGAGATAGATCAAAATAATGTATAACAGTATTGTACACCTTAAAAAGGTCTACAAAAATGTCCACGACAGTATATGTCTCTCTCTTAGGGATAACACACAATAAGCGTTTTTTATCCCTTACTTTTTACAAATCGATTTTAAGCAATACAGCATAAATCCTTATCCAATTAAGTACCTTAAATCATTGTGCATTTAATATAGATCAACGTGGCCCTTTACAGCATGTAATTTAAATGAATATTTTCTAAGATATTACAGATTTAAAACGCAGGGACATAGCGGTCTCTTGCCTTATAGAACTTATGATTAGCAGCGATCACACGTGTTTTTATGTATATTCAGCATCAGCATTGCACCCATGCAGAACTGGTGCGGATCGCTAGTTTTGTTATAATCTATAAAATGCATTCAAGTTTTGTTGTCAATTATATTGATCAGACACTCAATGAATATATGATTGAGTGTGTCCTGCATTCGCAGTTTGGATTGTCCTCAAATAACCTGAATAAATATTCTTTGTAAAATGAATTGAAAACATTTAAAAATCATCTGAAGATGATGTGATGCTGCAGGTGCTCAATAAGAATCGACTTTACACATTAAAGTCGATTCTTATTCAGCCCAGTTTCTCGGAAGTTGAGGCTCAAGGGCTTGGCTACTATTTTATTGCGACTTTTTAGTTGGGAATGCATAAATGCCTCGTTTTTATTATTTATTCCTTGCTAATTGAGTATGCATAAATTTAGCTCAAGTATGTACTAAACAATAGTTATTATTTTTCAAAGGGCTTCTTCTAGTTTAATAAAGCTTTCAAGTAAATATTCAGTTCAATTTTATTAGGGTGGAATGATGCACCATATCTTGTAAAAATACTCTAAGCACAGTTAATCAATAATGTTCAGTGGAAAAATTTATACAGGAGCATAGATATTATCTTATTTATACTCTCATTATATTTATGTGCACAAGTTGTATGTTTTTACAAATGAAAAACATGAAATTTCAAAACCAGTGACAGATTTACAAATTTTTAAGACAAAGGCTATACAGTTTTTGCCGCCCTTGCCTCTATAACTGTCATCCCCTACATCATTTATATCATCCAACAGTTTCGTTGAAATTAGAGGTAAAATAATTTTAGGGTATACAAAACTCAATCAGGTATGAGCGGGGTAATGTATGCTACTTACACAATAATGTACATTTGGTAAACGTGAATAAATAATCTTTATTGTGTTTACCAACAGTTGAAAACAGTCAACTCAGTCAAGTTATGAAAGTTCGTTACAATATCTCTTTCTATAATTTCCCTCATAAAAAGTGTGAGCAGAGGGTGCAGAGGCCGACTATGGATTGGAGGCGGCAAACTAGCTGTTTTACTCTAGAATATGGAAGTTTGCTACTATTGGATTGTCCAATGATAAGTTAGAAAGGAAAATCACCGGCAAAATTTGTTGCAGACTTCTATCTGTAAGACATCACAAAACTATCGTGCCGAAATCTTTTTGATTGCCATGCCGTAGCAAAAAAATTGGTCCCCAAATTTGTTGCCCTAGGCTCCAGCCTAACTGCTGAAAACTTGGGACATACTACTCAAGACTGGTGCATGAATTTACCCTAAATCACCTCACACATGAGACCAAAACCACATTACCCATTTACCAAAAGGAGACTCACTTTTGCCAAATTTTCGAAATGGGTAACTTCTGCATCTTCATAAATTTTTCTGGTAATCCAAACACCATCTGTATTGTTCATATTTATGCCTAAAAAAGTTAATTTAAAGAGTAATCAGCATGTGGCATATGGATTTTGGTTGAAAGATGTTGATATGATATTGATGCATGCTCACCGTAATCAGTATCAATTTTATGGGTAATTTAAAGAACGGGGAATCTAATAGAGAATCCCACCACCAAGTATTTCCTAAATATAGTGAAAGAAATGAATTACACCACACCAGATCTAAGAACACAACCTTATTCTACAATCAACAAGAGTACAAAAGATGGAATAGAGCGAGAACACAGATTACAGAAACAAGTAATTCAGTGTTCTGTGAGTGGGACATGACAGAAGGAAAAACGATTTCAAAAAGTGAAATATCTTCATCTTCTATATAATGGGTTCGACAACTTTGGTCATTATCTCAGTTCCGACGGAATGCCCCGCCCGGTGATGGCCTTTGCTACTCCACACCCTCATGTATATATATGCCTGATAAAATTGTAAGTTGAGCGCACATTTGTGCTGAGGTCACAGAATACCTTACATTCAGGGACATTCACCACGGAATTGGAGCTGTGAACTTTTTAAGAATCTCGAGGTGGTTACTGTTAACCTAACAATTTCGTCGAATGGCCAGAAAAGTGAACATGATATAATTAAGCTACTTTTGTTGAAATTGTTTTAATGTTGGCCTAACAAGCTGCCGAGACGCTATCATAATAATTCCTCCGCAGCAATCAAATTATATATTTGATAACTTTCAAATAATTTGAAATCACCGCTAAAAATGACGATAAACACCTCGAAGATAGACCATAGGTCACAGAAACTTTACCCCTCAAAATTAAAGTGCCATCAGTTGATTGTCTCTTCTGTAAAGTATTCAGTGTTGAGGTGTTAATGTTATATGTAAAACATAGGTAAAACTCTCAGCCCCGGGCAAAGCGGGAACTGTACACATATACCCGGAATGTTGTCTCGGGTGATCGTAAGAGAAACCCAGGGTTACTATATAAGGAAATAATAATGTCGAATTGGATAGTAACATGTCTTAGCACAATTACATTAATGGAAAAGCAAAAGCAGCTTCTCAGAGATTTCAAACAAGATTTTCAAACTAAACAGTTCAAAAGTTTCCTAAAAAGTTGTGACACTTAAATTATACCTTTGCTCATATATATAAAAAACGGCCATCCGTTTGATTAAAGACCCAAACTACACAAGCGACATTTTTAGAGGGATGGAATATTTATATACAATAATTATTCTCCCCTACTTTTTTTTTCATTAACTTCATGTCTTGGATTATTGTATTTATTAGTTTATTATTTTATGTAAGTATTTTTTCTTATATGCTTCAGTTTGATTTGGTTAATTGACATAAACATATCAATGATTGCAATTGTTTTATCGTTTACATTTTGCAGCAAGCATACAACTGATCTAGGTGTCAGAGTTCCATTCCCGACAAGTTCTGCATATAAATTACATCAGCAAAATATAGCAACGACAGTGTCCTGTCGTTGTTAGTATTTTTAGTAAAATACAAAATAATAGATGAGTGTCAGCTAAGTAGATGTGTATGTAAGAAGAAATTGTATGTATAAAATATGTAAAGATTTAAAGATGATATATAGGTAAAATGTATAAAGATGAAAGCTAAACAATGGTAACAGTATATTAGATGGGATGTCTAGTAGAAACTGCATGAGGTTAATCTGGAAGAATATCGAACGCTCGTCGAAGAGTAAAGAAAAAAATAATTTTAATTTATTTTTGGTAAGAAATTACATACTTATCAATTAGAAATTGCATACTCTAAGTACCCTTCTACCGAATAAAAATTGAAATTTACTAAGAATTGTTTCATCTTATTTTTAACAGGGGTATTATGTGTTCAAGTAAGGTTATGTACGTGTTTAACAAATATATGTTAAGGTTATGTTCGTATTGTAATTCAGTACGCGATCGAATAACATCCAGCTAGCAGATCCAGGCAGATCTGTTGACCCCGTCTCGACGTTTCCACTCCAGTACATGCTCCCGTACCATTGAAGGGGTGTGAGAAGGTTTCGGATGCGTCCATGCTGGTGGTGAAGTTGTATAGTTTTCAACTATTTTCTCCCTTTCGAAAACTCTGGAATCGTATATTCATTGTATAAGGATATCGTACTGTACCTAATATTATTCTACTAGCTGATAGCAGGTTATGTAACATCTACTCGGAATGTAGATCATTTCAGTTTATATCAAATCTCCCTTGGAATCTCCCTTGAATGTTATAGGAATTGCCAACAAATTTGAATTAAAATATTGAGCAGACGAATTTATTATTAAAATTATTCCTTGAATTGAAATTGTCTACCGAAGAAATGATTAATATGATCTACATTTTGGGTGAATGTGACAGAAATGGACCCATTCACTGATTTCATTTTTTTTTTCATTTTGATACTTGTTTTGTCCAGCACTTAATAATAAAAAAAAACGTTTTTGCTTCTATTTAATGACTTTTTCGTACTTTCCTCAAAAATAAGATACATCTCCGATGGAAATAGTCAATCCCTAAAGCTCATAGTGCGGACTATTTTGGGATGGTCCTATGTACAGGGTATTTCATTCGAAAAAACTGAAAAAAAATTATCCCGAGTTTTGTTTACCCCTACTATAGAAAAAGCGACGTTCAGTAAACTTATGAGGACGAAATGAAAATACGCTATATTCAATGAACCCCTTTTTTGACATAAATTAATAGTTATTTGAAAATCATCTAACGAGTTCAGGATTATCATTCTTCACACTTCATTCATACTACATACATGAAATCTGGTGGTTGTTTAGATCTACTAATATATTTTTAGGTTGTTCTATGGTGTATGAGTATATTCCAAGACACTTTGCATATATAGATTTATTAAAGCTTTCAATTTAAACAATATAGTAAGAGGGCATACTTGAAGACTGGCTGTAAATTAAATTATCTGAAAGAGCAATTAGTTCAGGCCAGTCTCAACTCACCTACACTGTAGGATAATAGACTGACACCGATCAGAAAACAACTACTCCCCTGGCTAATACTACGAAGGGCGTTGGATTATATCCGACAGATGTCAGTGCAGGATTCTTCACAGAAGCAATTCCTGCATATGCTGTTAGCGCTTCACGTGCCGGAATCGATTTTCAGTTATTGAAACGAGCACACTTGCAGACCGGTTTCGGGCTATTTGGCTACTCCCCTGGCTAATATTATTATTATTAGCCAGTAAAGTAGTTATTTTCTGACAACATTATTTTCTGACACCTACAGCGTAGGTGCGTTGAGACTGGATTGAACGAATTGTTCTTTCAGATAATCCAATGTATCAGTTTGAAATTTTGATCTTGGGGGATTGTAGTATATGATTATGTTTGATTTTGGCTCTACGATATGACTATGTAACATTTGAAAGTTTATAGGAATGTTATTGTGATTCATTTCTATTTTTATGTATTATTTGCGTTTTGACAAGAGTTTAAATTCCTCCATAGCCATCTGGTCTATAGGTCTATTGACTCGATGACATATGTAATTATTTATGTTGAAAATTCGATTTTTTCTTAACAAGTTTCGTTTGAAATTATTATGTCAGTCGATTTGTCATTCATTATTACTTTCGAATTGTCAATGTTGCTGTAGAATTAGTAAGACTCAGCAAGAAAAAAACTAGGTATTATAGTATTTTCCAGCTTCGGTAATAGACAGTCATTTTCAATTCACAAATTAAACGACGGTCATGTGCCTCATACAATGTAACATTTCGACCAGCCACGAGGATGTTTATAAAAAATTCATCTGGGTGTTCTTGGCCAGACGCACCGTCATGAAAAAAAATACTTATCGGAATTTAACCAAACGGGCAGACAGACAGCAGTTTCCGAATCTTGAAATTTAGAGATTGCAAGGTAAGCGAAATAAGGCTTTTCTGTTGAATCTTGACTAAGCGTGGGCCACAGCAGGATAATTAACAACCACCTTAATAAGCGCGTCATCGGGGAGTTGAGCGAAAATCTCGTTGAGCGAGCGGAATCGAGTTTTTTGGAACGACGAGGGGGGTTTTATTTTTCTACTCGATCAAGAGCGGTATTTTGTTTTGGGAGATAGTTTTCCTGGGGTAAATCTTTGAAGAGTTTAATATTTGAAAACAGGCGATTGGCGTGATTTTGAATATTCGTTTATTCTGTCGTAGGAATCAAGTAGTATGTAAGGTTCGAGTGGAAATTGAGCAGTGTAGTGCAAAAATTGAATTAGATAATAATTCAGTAGGCCGAAACCGTATATGAAAGAGTTAATTTGAGTTGAAGTTTTACTACTTACGATATATTTTTTGGGTAAGCTATAATTAGCCGGGACGAGAAAGACAAACCGCGGTGAGTTAAATGTACATGTGTAATGACCATTTTATGATTTTTTTGGAAGGAGTTTATCATAAAAATCAGTATACAGAGTGGTTCTAATAATTGAGTCACAGTTGGCTAGCGGTCAAAAATTATCGGTCAAGCTAGAGTCAATCACGTATATGATAGAAATTTACGATGAAAGCACTAAATTTGAGTTTTATTTCGTGATTTTCTTTGTTTTCCATTGAGAAAAACGTTCTCAGGAAGTTTATTCCACAAAAACGCAGTTCTCCAAATGGAAGAAATATTAAACAGCGAAGTTCGAGGTGTACTGAGTTGAAACTCGAAACGATGAGCAGCCAAAGTCCATCGCGTATTTCTGATATGTACCACTCTTGGTGGAATCAAATGTGCCAAGTCACTTGAACACTTCTCGTGGAAGTATGTATAGAAGAGAGACAAATCCCAACCTTTCTTCGATGTTCCAGACAATCAAGATTGCAAGTGATGTTCGCGCCTCCAATCAGGCAGATGGCTCTTTTCTGGATGGAATCCAGCAGCTTCAGGGCAAGCTTAGGGGCGGAGATTGATACTCCAAAAAAGGTCTGATCTGAGCTTTATAAAGCATCAAAAGTTGCTGAGGTGTGCACAGTTTTCTGGTCGGGAACAGTGTTCCAAGCTTTTTAGAAGCAGCCTTTGCAATTCCAGCGAAACGTTAGGATGTAGTTCCAAACTACGACGGCCTTCAAACCCGAATGAAGATAGTAACACTGATTTTAGGAGACTGTCGATTCAGTGACATCTGTTGACTAGTGACATGAAGTATCTACTCGCCAAACGGCCCAGATGAAAAAAGTTAGATTCCACTAAAAATCAAGTTTGAAAAAACGTTGCACTGCAGGACGATGAGACTCCCGCACGCTCTAAGAAA